GGATGAGAAGCCTTCCATGAGCTTAAATAAAATATTTCCAGTACCCAATCCTGCTTACACCGGGTGCAAATCTTCAACACAGGATTTTGCCTGATGTGTGACAAGTAATGTTATCATCTGTAAAAAGCTACCCCTCTTTTTTTTTTTCTAATAGTATAATGAAGTCATATTCTACAGTGTTAGGATAAGAAGTTCTTTTTTTAAGTGACCACGAGTTACATTTATGAAAACACTTTGGCCAGAATCCTATTGGGTCCTTCTGCAGACAGTGGATCTCAGAGGTAGAGATGTCCTTCCCCACTCCCCATGCAGCCCCGTGTGCCTATTATGGGATGCTCTTGCCCTCCAGCTCTTTGTGTCATTTGAAGCAATTCTTTAGAGAGGTTCTGAGCCCTTGAGAGATGACATTTAAGGGATGTGGTGACAACGTGGGGAAAGATGATCCCCCATGGGCACATTTTTTTTCACTAATGTAAAGTCTAAATAGGATCTCCTGGCACAAATCTTTCCAACAGCATGTATCTTCGCAAATTCACCTTTGTTTTCCACATCACGTCCTGTAGCTACAACAAAGCAAGCCAACCTGTACTAAAAGTGACATCCTTTGTCCAGGTGATTGATTAGCAGTGCTTCTCAGACAAATGACTTTCTCAGCCATCCCTGATGATACAGGAGACTGATCCTAAAGCCTTCTGCAAGAAAGGCATGCTATGTATCACTTGGGTATGGACCCAGGGGATAATAAATGCCTTACAAGAGGGATGTCAGCTTAGGATGGACTGTTCATCTCCCACCAGGAACATGGACCTGAAGGGAGAATGAACGCTGTGTGCCACTGCCTCCATCCAATAAAACTTTCACCAACAGCCTCCTTGATGCGCCCCTCCCATCGAGGTCAAGCTCTGTCCGACACACAGAGTTGCTGTATATTCCAATCAAGGGCGCAGCCCAAAGTGGACATAAGAGGCCTTTTCTATTCCAGCTATCAGTGGCCCCAGCCAGAGGGGGGAAATGCCCCACATCAAACAGTGCTTTCCCTGCTTATGTCAACACAGGTGAGAGATTGGAAAGGAGGGTGTTCGCCTGTCGCCATTGCCCTCAACTTTTGAACCAGAAACTGGCAGCGGCAGGAGAAAATAAACACGCGCTCTGAAGTGGCAGATTTCCAGCTACAAATTCTAAGACGGAAGGCTGCCATCTCCTCCAGCCTAGACAATTAGGGTATGTGTTTGGACCACCTTATTTCCTGGGGAAATGTCCCAGGCGTAGCCAGCATCTTTTGCAACACATCAAGGGTGGAGTCCCTGGGTATGTAGTGCTCCACTCCTAGGTATTCACACAGAACAGAACAGTAAGTTCCTCCTCAGAACAGAAACTCATTTCTCTCAGTGTTATCCGGCAGTGGAGATCTTTTACCCCCGAAGGGCTTCAGAAAATCTACTGGGTGAAGAAGACTCCATTTAATTCCCTTCTTCCACCAGCAAGCCATCAGCTTCTGTCTCTATCTACGGTTTCCTTTTCTTTCCCCCTTAGAAACTTATGAGAAACTCTTGAGCAGCACAAAAAATATTTAAATAACACAAGGTTCTGTTATCTTGGAGGACTGAATAGTAGTGACAAATTAGCAACTGCGATAGAGAAATAAGGATTTTTCTCTTCTAATAGTGTGGGGACAAGGTCTTCAGAAAATGGCATTTCAAATAACTCAAATAAAGGTTTAATAAAACACTTTCTCACAGTTGCATGATCTATGGCTTCTATAATCCTCCAGTTAGCATGGCCAGTGACCGTGCCGGTGGACAATTCTGGGGAATGAAGTCCAAAATAATAACATCCCAGAGCAAGGCTACCTATGTATGTCTATGGGTCTAGGAAGGAAGTGGTGGAATTATAATTTATGAGTACATTGGCTGGAGAGGAGAGTTGGTGCCCATCTGTTGAAATGAAATTATGAGTGGCAGGCTGCAGCTCTTTCCCTCAACAGATCTGCTTATGAGTAAGTAAACAATCCAGGAATGTTACACAGAAAGGGCAATGCCCATCTATCCCTAATTCCCATTCCAGTTACGGACTGGGTGAGTGGTACCAAGCATCTGTAGATTTTTTAAGGGAAGAGTAATCTGGCAAGTAACTGGCCTTACCCAAGGACAGAGTTCCCTTGGGTCCAACCTCATTGGGTCCAAGCTGCTCTTGACCCAGCTGTTACTTCCTGTAGGTGTTTCTTTTTGGAGGGAGGAGCTACCCCATAAGGAAGACAATAAAAACACTTTCTTAAAGTGATTTAAAGCACTAGTTCTTAACTTTGGGTTACTCAGGAGTTTTGGACTGCAACTCCCAGAAGCCTTCACCACCAACTGTGCTGGCTGGGGTTTCTGGGAGTTGCAGTTCAAAAGCATCCGAGTAACAAAGGTTAAGAACCACTGATTTAAAGCCAACATGGAAGGAACTGGAGGGTTTGAGTGCTGTCTAGCTCGGTGTTTTCCAAATTTCCCTTTAGGAGGCTACTTGCAAATTACTAGGAGTTTTTACAGACCACTTAATTGTGTGTATGTTTTCTACAGATCAAAGCACATGCTGAAACGGGCATTTTACTTTAAAAAAAAATATCCAACTCTAGTATCATAGGCAAAGCCCACACTATCTTATGGAAATCATAAGTCCTAAGAGAGGCTGTTGAGGAGGTCCACTTCCTGTGGGTTTAAAAGAGTTTATACAGTCTTGGAATGAATGAATGAATGAATGAATGAATGAATGAATGAATGAATGAATGAATGAATGAATGAAGCTTGTGATGTTTGATACTCTGTTCCTGGTCAAAACAGCCTTGTACAAAAATGAACAAAAAATAAACCAGTCTCAAGCAAAAATAAATCAAGTATGGATATTTCCTGCTGTTTCACAACTATTCTGCTATCCACCTGAAGAGAGCTAATGAGCCTAAGTTTGAGGAACCTCTGGCCTAGGTCTATCATGACTATATAACATGTTAAAAAGTTTAAGAATTTTATCTTCTAAGAGAAGGAAAGGATACAGAGTAATAAGGAATTGCTCTCTCTCTCTCTCTCTCTCTCCTCTGCCACCATCCACAAAGGAACCAGACGATACAGACTTTTAGTATTAGGTAACATTAATGGGGCCCCAGTGTGGTTTAGTAGATAGAGGAGACCTAAGTTTGAATCCCCACTAAGCCATGGAAACCGACCGGGGTGATATGGTGCCACTGGAAAAAACCACTCCTTAAATGTTTCACTTATCTTGAAAGCCTATTTGATGCCACTATAAATCACTCCCAACTTGATGGCACATAACACAACACCATTAATGGCTCCATTCATGTTAAGAAGATGGCGCAAATGCAATGGGCACGGTTCCTTGTACAACAGGCACTGGCTTGGGTGGCCCATCAGATGTTGTCATCACTCACAAACTGGCTATGTTGGCTCGGGAGGACAGGATTTGTCTCTCGCAACATCTGGAGGACCACACATTCATCCTTGTTGCAGCAAAGAACAAACATGTTTCCTCTCTGCCGGTCACCTAGACACATGGTTTGAAAAGGCGCTTCATTTGCTTAAAACTAGACCTCAGAAGGGATACTTGAGAAACAAAAATGATTCTTCAAGGGAAGATAAGATACAACCACACCTCAAAAACTATTCTTTGTGGACGACAGCTCTAGAATCCCCTTACTGAGTAATGGCATCCAAAAAAAAAAGTAACTTTCGTGGAGCTCTGGGCCAATAGCTATGAATTTATTAGACGTTGGCTGTCTTCAGAGCCCTTCAAGTAGCCCTTGCTATAACATCCCAAAATATACTGGAAAGCAAGTGGCTACAGAATTATTCCCCATAAATAGGCGGCTGGGCTTTGTAAGCGGGGGTGAGAACACGGTGTAAAGGGGATTTGTTCCACAATCATACCTCCTCTAAACTCCCCGGAGAAAGGGTGAGGATATGAATATGATTAATCAACATCACCTAGCTGAGCTGATGACAGGCAAACTGAAGCCAGAGGCTGAGCAGGGAAGGGACCCCAGGCTATATGACGAAGAGCTTGGCCTCTCAAGAAGCCTTTGTCTACCTTGCCTTTGGCTTCGGAACGACCTTCTTCCCATCCCTACATTCACTAAAATATGGGTGGTCTGCTTCTCACACTTGGTGGAAAGCGATTTAAGGTTGAAACACCCTCCTGGGGCCATATACTTCTTCACTGGACTTCACTGAGTGCTGGAAAGCGATTACGCTCTCTATTTTCTATCTTAATTCTTTAGCTTAATGCTTTTTTTAGAAGTTTCCGCAAACACTGCAAATCACATTGCTAATTTCATTCAGAAACAGTTGTCGCTTGCATGCTGGTTTAAAGCAAAGGCTGTTCCTTTTCCCCCCATTGTGTCGAAGGTGCTGTAAAGAAGAACTGGATGAATGCCTGAATGTTATGACCCATTGAAAGAATTTTAATTTGAACATTTCTAAATACACCTGGGGGCCAACCTACAGGTTATGTTAAATAAATAATGGGTGCTGAACACAATTTTCTTCCTCATTTCACAATAAATTCATATGGGCTTAATCTGGATGAGGACCATGATACATAGTCAGGAGAGGCTTGAAATGTCCTGCCTTAGGTGTTTCCCCTATAAATCCCCATCACCAGAGCTTAACAAGAAAAGCAAATTCCATTTGGGGTCATTCGTGGGTGGGAAGAGCAACACGGGAGCATTGGGAAACAGCAAGAGATGAGATGAGCCGGCCGGAGGGGTAGAGAAGGTGAGGGAAAAGCAACACAGGGAAGAACCCCAAAGGGCTAGCAAAACAAACGTAGGGACCCTTGGACTGACAGCCCATGCCCCAAATCATGGGTATTTCCATGAGAGTTGAATAGGGGTCAAAGGCCAGTGCAAGGTTGGACGACAACAGAAACACGGTCCTCCGTGGCATCAGAGATTATCCCTCACGATTTCCTTTTGCCCAGAGAAAGACCAAGCTGAAGCACCAGCATACCTGGAAAGCATGGTCGGCGTAGCCAAGGCCGAGCTGTCGACAAACCACCATGGCTTCCATGGTGCCCCAGTTGTTACTACAGACGGTCCCCCACTTGAGGGTCCCGTTGTACTCCCGGAGAACCTCCACTCGTCCTTCGTAGGGCGTGCGGCCACCACTCAAACGTATCTGCGGAGGACAGGGAGAGAAAGGAATGTTAAAAGTTACGGCTATGGTTGATGACAGTTTGCCCTTGTTCCAGGTATACGTCAGGAAAAGCAAGATGGATTTCAGCTGAAGCATTATTGAGAAACACATTGCATGGTTTATGGAAAAAGTAAAAAGCTGTGGGACAGCAGAAGTCATATGGTGTAAGGCTAATTGGTGCAGTTGTTTCTATGGTTGTTGTAGGTTTTTCGGGCTGCTTGGCCGTCTTCTGGAGGTTTTCCTTCCTATCGTTTCGCCAGTCTCTGTAGCCCGTATCTTCAGAGGATAGGATGCTGGGCATAGAGACTGATGAAATGTTAGGAAGAAAAACCTTCAGAACACGGCCAAACAGCCCGAAAAACCTACAACAACTATCGGATCCTGGACGTGAAAGGCTTCGAGAAAGCAAATTGTTTCTATGTTTCTCAGACATACATTTCGCCAGTCTCTGTGGCCGGCATCTTCAGAGGACAGGATGCTGGGCATAGAGACTGGTGAAAAGTTAGGAAGAAAAACCTTCAAAACACGGCCAAACAGCCCGAAAAACCTACAACAACCATCGGATCCTGGTCATGAAAGGCTTCGAGAATGCAAATTGTTTCTATGTTTCTCAGACATAAATCCCATTGAGGTCTTTCCGAGCATGTGAAGAGCAACGAAGGGTAAGAAGCACTAAGCTGGAGAAATGCACCCGTGTATCTGCAGGAGGTCAGTTCCAAGCCTGTACCCTGTGGATGCTGAAAAACGTGGATTACAACAAACCCTCTTACAATAACAAATACTATACACAGCATGGCCTCTCACTCCTTCTAGTGTCCAGTTCTGATACCTTCATCTTTAGAAATATGCGTTTCCAGGATTTTTTTTCTTTTACTATTTTAAATATTTCAGACCATGGAAAAGTGAGTCAGTAGATACTGATCCACAGGTAAGGGGGTCCTACCGTAAAACAGTTAATTTCCTAGTGGTGTAATAAAGATATTACTCTTGCTAGAATTTTGTTCCTATTGATGGATCACAGAACTGCTGTTTTTTCAACATTGGGGAAAGGGAGCCACGTAACAAGGGCAGTCCCTTTTAGGTCAGCTTATTACAGATGTGTGTTCCCCAGTTGGCTTGTACATTGTTTGCTACAACAAACATCATTGTGTAACAGTGCTGTTCTTCCAAACCGCCTGGAAACAATTCACATAATTCAATGACCACTGGTTCTAAAAAGACCAAATGACAGATGTTCATGCAGCCTAGCCATCCCCTACTTGGTGCCAACAGCTGTATGTGGAGCCTGGAGAATTTAAATCTGTAGAGTACAACTATCACGATATCTCCCAGCCAGTATGGACAGTTGTAACGTCTCTGAACTCCCTTTAAGATGCAGTTCTCGTGCAACTGTCATCCAGAAGCTCAGCAGTCATTATGAAACCCAACAGTTGAAGATTGGATAAGATGTTTATCAAAGAAAGTTTCATTTTTAGGGTCTAAAAGAACACAGCTGTTGAATTGAATGGAACCTGTGGAGTCCAGCCAAATGACTGGAATACAAATCTTGTGAATTCAGTAGACGTTGCCAAAAGAGATCCCGAGCCAGCATTGGAAAATTACCTCAGTTTGAAAGCTGAGGAAAATCTCTTCCTATCCTCACTAAAATCCTATACATATTCAAAAACAGGTTTAAGAAGCTTGAGGCCTGATTCATATGAATGTCAACAATCACTGCAGCTCCTGAAAGGACCTGCACATTGTTTATGGCCCTCATACATCTCTGTGCATATGGGCTGCCAAGCATTGGGACCAGGATTTCATACACATTGATTTTCAAGTTGTTTCCTTTTTTTAAAGAAAAACATTTGTAAGTATGCTGAAGATTTACTCTCACATCACAAATTGGAACAGTAGTAACTATTAATGGTAACTATTTTGCCAAGGCAGGAGTACAACGGGGGGTACATGGCAGTAGCACTGAATGGAACAAAAACCATCAGGACCTAGTGGTGGTCTGGATGACGACCAAATCAAGCGATGGTTTGCATGTCTGAATGTGCATTCACAGGTACCATACCCTAGACAGAACTAATAAAGCCAAAGGAATCGCTTCATAGTTCAGCTGATGATTATCCATAGCTAAATATAGAGCAGCAAGTGTACCTTTGAGCCACCGATCCTACAGATTTCACTTTTGGAAGGTAGCATTAGCACTACATAAACACATGCTAGGAGATGGCCCATCAGCCTCAAACAAATATGAGTGGCTGTCTACAAAACACACTGGCATCATGGACCATGTGGCTACTTTACTAATCTGCTACTTTCTGCTGAACCTCAGATGGGAATCACCCTTCAGCCATAGCTTTGCTCTGACCACTGCTCCAAATGGCTTGGCATCTGGCTATCTAAAGGACCACCTTTCTTGCTACAAGCCTGTCTGGATCTTCAGATCCTCGGGAGAAGCTGGAAAACATAAGAGAATCAAAACAGATCCCCAGTACATGTGTTCAAGTGATCTGTACCATGGGGACAGGAGCAGATAGATAGCTGGAGGTTTATCTTCTCTAGCCTGCTAATTAGTTTATGTGTAGATTGGCACTCTTAGGCTTCTTTCTTTCCTCTTTCCTCCTCTGAGGTAATGTTCTTCTAATTAAGAGACAGGTAAATGTACATAATTTCTTCCTAGCTGATACTAGCTAGAGATGTCTACACACAGGTTTAGGAATATTTTATCCTTTTCTATTGACAAACGGACCTCCTATGACAGTATAGTAAACAGTAAGTCCTTGTTTTTGCCTAGTCTTAATCTCCATAGTGCTTTTCCTTCTCAGTAGCTCTGCTGTAGGCCAGTTCACATTGTTGGTAAATATCAAACAACAACAAAAACCATCATCATCATCATCTTTGTACTGCAGAGCTGGAAGGGACCCTGTGGATCATTAAGTGCAGCCCCTGTCAAGGAGGCACAAGGGGGAATTGAGCGGATTTGAACTCACAGACTCTGGCCTAAACCACTGAGCTAACCATCAGTTCAATTCTTATGATAAACCAAATTCCATAAATGACGCAGAGAGATTGCACAGCAACAGGTATGTCTGGAAGCATCCGTGCTATCCCAATCCTACAAGATCTGATTATAGAAACCATGAGACTCCTTAGTTCCCTTGGTGGTCCAGGGAACTAAACCAAAATAAGTGCTATGACCGAGAGATGCAGAACCCTCTCACTGTTCAGGAGGATTGGGATGTACAGAAAACAATACCATGAAATCTGAAAAAAAAGGCTCTTTGTTTCTAGGCAAAGAACTTCCTCCTCACCTGGTTGTGAAAACCCATGGCTGGAATGTTACATCTCACAGAAGCATCTTCTTCGTGGGTGCAACGCGTCACCTGGGTGCTGAATTTGCAGTCTGTGATGGACTTTTCATAACCTGCACAGTCGACTTCATTGAGATGAATGGGGCCCATACCTTGAAGTGGGGGGAGAAATACACACATTCTCACCTGTGCACAATAAGGGAGATTTTGCATAACATCTACTACAATTCTGGACCTGTTGAACCCCAGGAATTAAAAAAAAGAATCCAAGTTTCAAACCAGGCGGTCTGATCTAGAATTAAAATACCCAGGTTTTTTGCAAGCACTTTTTATGAAACTTGATTTTTTTTTAAACTACTTGGGAAATTATTTCCAGTGGCTGTTTTTCTCTAATAAAGGAAGATGCCAGAAATAAAACAATAGCCAATGTTCCACATCTCCATCATTTTAAATGTCAGGGAAGACATGGAAGCAAAACAGATATTAACGAGCCCTTTTTGGCAATTTTGGTGCAGTGGGAACCTGCAGTTGATTCAACTCCAACTTTTCAGTGGCAAAAGATTTTTTCAAGTAAAAAACAACAATAACTACGCCATCTTAAATACAGGCGGGTTAGCTAAGGATTGTTTTGTCCTTTGCAAATATGTAAAAAGATTTCCCAGGATGTAGTGATTCTTAGAAAAAGATCGTGGCAAATTCTAGCACTAAAACGTTATTTTAGCTGAAAAATGGGCCGTGTTTCCCATTTTAATACAGAAAAACAATGGTCTAAAAGTTGGAATTATTAAAGCCCACATTATTTTTCTGCTGTCATTTAATGTGTGTTTGCTTGGAGATAAAACCCACTGAGTTTAAGTAGGTGTGCACAGATGTGCAGACCTGGTTCGCAAGGTGAGACAGGTCTTCATAAGCAATAGCATTGATGAGTTGGGTTTTCCCCAGTTGGGAGACAATTCCATGAAGGAAAGGCTCACTGGCAGCCCTTGGCCATCTATCAGAGCCATCATCCTCAGAGGTCGTAGGAATGACATGGGAAATGCTCGCACAGCAATGAAACCCACTGTGCTCTATCCCTTTCCAAGCATTGTTGAGAGAACAAAAGGGAATGACTCCATGCATGTTGCTGGAAGCCCCTTTAAGGAAGAATGAGAGACAACTATGATAGGTAACACATAAAACATCAGCAACCTGCACTCCCTCACTCTGTGAGCCTGTTATGAATAATGCAGAAATTCTATCCAGAATTTGAGGCCAGGGGTGGGGGGAATTCTGTTCCCTGCAAACTTCCAGAGTCTCCCAGACAGCATAGCCAATGACTAAGCTGACTGGGAGATGTAGTCTTAAAAATATAACTTCCCCAAGCTTTGGCCCTCTCCAGATTTACCAAAAGAAGTCTCTTCCTATAGCGAAGCCAGGAAAATAATCTTTTGAGGTGTCATTTCCTGATCTGTTTAAATGTAATTTTTGACTACCGGGACAAATATAAAGTGTGGGCACCTTGCCCTTAGCTGGACACACTTTACTCAGTTTTTTTTTTAAATATATAGTCGGAAAAGGAAGCTCAAAGCACTGAAGCAGCTACTTAAAGAGTTTCCAAGTCCTGGCTGTGTAATGTGGCAGCCCGCTCTAGCTCGTCACGTTGCAGTCAAAACTTTTTCATGTGATGCCGGCACTCCTGACGCTAGAATAACTGCAATTAAACACACATCAGAGCACTCGGCTTGTCATTTGGTTGGCGAGCTCACATTTCCAAGATTCCAGACAGTTGCAGCTGTGCCTCATAGTTGTCATTCCTTCCAATAAACCACATTGGTTTGGTGGCACTTCGCTGTTTTGGCTTTGGCAGAAGACTTCCTTTGCTTGCTGTAGGGCCTTGGGACTCTGCAGAAAAGACCTTAGGGGGTCATCTAAAGCAGTGACTCCCAAAACCTAGGGTTCTGGGTGTTCTTAGACTACAACTCCCAGAAATCTCGGCCAGTGCAGCTAGAGGTGAAGGCTTCTGGGAGTTTTAATCCAAGAGCATCCAGGGACCCCAAGGTTGGGAACCACTGATCTACATGTTTGGAGATTGTCATTAAGCGGATTCGTCGTAATGCAGGGCAATTGTAAAGCGAGGCACCACTGTATTTATTCATTCATTTAGTTACTTGTTTGTTTAATTTATATCCCACCTCTCTTCCAATGAGCTCCAAGTGGTGCACATGTTTTTCCTCCTCCTCACTTTACTCTTAGTGCAAAAGGCAATATGCTCCTTTTTAAAAACCAAAGATGGCAGGGATTGTACACGCCACGTATGCAGGCGCTTGGCTGTTGAGCTCTTCGCTGCCATCTCTTACCCACTCCAGCTGGGGTTCCATTTTAAGCAGGCTTACCTTGCCCCAATCTGGCACCCACAATCGCCTCCTTGGCACTTCCGAAGCCCAGCTCCCGGCAGACTACGCTGGCTGAAACGAGGTTCCACTGGTCATCGCAAATTGTCCCCCACTCTCCATTCATCAGCACTTCAACGCGCCCTTCTCCGGTCTTAGCTCCACCCTTTAACCTAACCAGTGGTTGCTGAAAGAGAAAGATCCATGGGAGAGAAAGCCTTATTCTCAGGAACGTGACTATCAGAGGTCACAAACTGACATTCCAACCCCTATCCAGAGGGGACGCTTATTGCTGTAAAAGTACCTGGTTTGTTACTGATTGTTTCAGAGTATTTCTCCCCACACATCAATACAAACAGCAACAAATCCTTGCCTTCTCAAAGGATTTTTGCAGCTGTTGAATTTCTTCCAGATTTTGTTGTGGTGGGAGACCAAGTTAACGCTAAATTCTGCCCCCAATAACAAATTCAAAAACGAAGAAGGCCCCGTTTTTTCAACAGCTACAAAAAAAGAGGTGAGAATGCAAGGATTTGTTGATACGAACTTGCTTTGTTTCTTCTTCCCTGATGCATCTAAAGAACATCATAGTAGGAAGCTTTTATTAGAACACCACCAGGTTCAAGGGAAAAAACAAAACTCCGGAAACTAAACTGCAAGAGGAGTGTCAATTTCAAACGTATGTCAAAGATTCTGGAAAGAGAAGCCTTTTCAGAGATGTTTACCAATTTAAATATGGAAGCAAATCTTCACAATCCCAGCCTGGTCTTTTGATCAACCATGACTCACTAGGCTGGCAATTTTGCCCCGTCTGGAGGAATCTGCACAGCAATGACAGTTCCTACTGGAAACTGGGTTTTAAAATCTACACAGTTAGTTTCGTGCAGTTTTTCTGTATGGCCAAAATAAAATACAATGAAATGAAATAATATAAAATAAAATAAAAGGTAGAATGCAGAAATGACTTGGGGATGATGGTGGTGGTGGAGAAAGAAAATGAAGTGGTATATGAACCCAGGACAAAATCCACAGGTCTGGTGTCCAGAATGAGGCAGTTTCTGGTAACATTTGGCAAAGGGTGGGTGTATGGAGGTCACTTGCAAGTTTAATTTTTAAAGATTGTTGGTGGGTTCAAATAAAGTGCTCCTCTTGCCCCTTGTTTTAGGGGAGAATTACACACACCGAGGGCTTTTGGAGACATGCTTCTCACAGGTTTTGGGAAAATCTGTTTTCGGCCATGGGGTATGAATTCCTATCCCAGTGTTAAATCACCAGGAATCAGAAATTATCTACTATAATAGATCTTGAGCTGCCTGTTGTCTCCTCCTGTCTTAAAGGAATTAAGCCAACTTTTCAGTGGACAAGAAGAGTGGTTTCTGCACCCCTCTGTGTGACTAGCAGAAGCTGGCAACTTTACACAATCTGAGCACGCTTATGTAGCCTTTCTCAGGGCATAAGGGGGTGTATCCACTCAAAAGGAGTTGCGCCTAATGAGCTTTAAAAGCCTCCGGATCCCACCAAGATCAACTTTAACACGGGCCATAGGAAATATTTTAAATAAACTGAAAACAGGTTGTCATCCAAGGACATGATGTACATACTTTCCCATAAGGTTAGGGAAAACATAAAATGCCTAGGAAAATATTACAGATTGAACGATTCTCCGTACTGGGATAAATACACTCTCTTTATGATTTGCATGGTAACAGCCTGTCCTGGGAACGAGATTCTGAAAAGTTTAGTCTGTGGTTGAATCCAGAAAGGGATTAAAAACAACAACAACACTTGTTCTTATTGAACTCTGGAGTTTTGACAGTATGTTCAAGAACCAAAATGATGCCAGCATTGTCTCTGATCATACGTACATGCATAACATTGTGAAAATCTTGTAGATGTGATATATATTCAATATCTGGATATTAAGAAGGGTTCTTTAGTGGTCTGTGACCTGGACTGTGAAACCCCCTTTTTGCTCCATGCAATTGTACTGGGCAATGTTAAAGCACCATCAGAATTAAAAGGAGCATCCTCAGAGCCAAAAGAATGCCTTGTCCAATCTGGTGCCCTCCAGAGGTGCTGTACTACAATCCCCATTATCCAGAGCCATAATGAGATAGCAGGATAATAGGAGTCGTGGCACACCAGATCTAGAGGGCACCAGATTGCAGAAGGCTGCTCTATAATAGGATGTGGGTTATATGGCATCAAATTACTTCTGAGTTACAGCACCCCTAATGTGGTTTTTGAAGCATGCAAGCTGTTCATTTATTTGTCCATGGCCAGTGGAGATTTGCACCCAGATCTCCTAAATCCTCACCTGATACACTATCCACTACTCCACCCTGGCACACAGAACAGGATTCCATAGGTCAAATATAGTGAAACCTTTATCTTAGAGATGTGGCTATTGACCACATGACTTACTATCCTCTAGCGTTTGCAAAAAATGAATTAATTAGAAGTAACTTTTCCTTTTTTTATAACTAGTTGTTTCCAACTCTGAGTGATCACTGAAGCATTGCCAAGAAATAGGACAAAACAAGCAGAGGACAAAAGAAGATGCAGGTTTCTATTAAATTTATACGTGTTAATTTCTACACAGGTGCAAGCAGAGACAGAGTGATTACAATTTAAATGGAAAACCCAACACAGAACTCCATAGTGTGTGACTAGCTGCCATGGGTGTCTACTTGGTTAGCTATTGGTGATCAACTACCCAGCCTCTGTGCCACCTTCTTCTTGTTATCTTTAAACCTGACTTAGACCAGAGAGATCTTTAAAGTGAGGACACCTCCAAGCAGAGGAGCACACTCTGCAAAACGGACAAAAAAAGTCAAACTTCTTTGTCATCAGCCAGCCTCGATTGATCTCTGGCCTCTACAACGACTGTGATAATGCAAACTGCAAGAGGGCAGGCGACATGGAAAGGTTGCTGCTGACCCATGTACCAGAGCTATGACGCATGTCCTATCAATGGCTGGATGAATGAACATTGCATGAAGTATGAATGGCCAGAGACTTAAGGGAGAATATACAGTGTTAAAACTCTGGAGACACACTCCGTAAACAAGACAGGGGTTAGCTCTAGGGCAGACAGACCCCACACATCTATCAGCTTCAGATACATGGTGTGCTTCTTCTTTGGAGCACTAAGGAGTAGAAAGAGGGGTGAATGACCTGCCCATATGGCTATTATACTATTAATGGATAAATGTGCACTATATAGACCAACAGACTTTTCATACTGTATCTATAGCGATCACAGTCCAGTTCTTTTCCCTTCCGCTTCTACGTCCAAATCCAGAGAATACACACAAAAACTCAAAGATGCCTGTAATTCCTCCCAATCCAGCTTTGATCCTAACAAGCAATTATAGGGAGGCTGGCCAACAACCAATTCCTTCCCTCATTTCATCCGGCTCCATACTGTCTACCAAGGGGTTTGATCCTTTTAAAATAGTTCTATACTCATTGTTTTTAGCTTTAAATACGGTCTCTTAATGACGTAGGTTGCCTGGATCCTCTTTAAAGAGAAAGGTGGGCTATAAATGCATGGATGGATGGATGGATGGATGGATGGATGGATGGATGGATGGATGGATGGATGGATGGATGGATGGATGAATGAATGAATGAATGAATGAATGAATGAATGAATGAGTGAGTAGTCTGTCAGATCATCACTGTAGCACTCCGCAGGCTGAATGTCATTACTGTAGCTATTGACATCGCGACATCAGAAAGGCAGATCTCTCTGATGGGCCAGGGTGTGGACTCACCTCCCTCTATAGCCATCTCTACACAAGAATTGGAGGTTGTCCATGACTTTGTGTACTTTGGCTCACTAATTTCTCCCTGGATAATTGCATTGGCAAAGCAGCTACCATGTTCTCTAGACTCACAAAGAGAGTATGGCTCAATAAGAAGCTGACAGCATATACCAAGATCCAGATCTATAGAGCCTGTGTCCTGAGCACACTCCTGTACTGCAGTGAGTCCTGAAGCCTTTTTGCACAGCAGGAGAGGAAGCTGAACACGTTCCATATGCATTGTGGGGCTGAGCAGGGAAGGGCTGGGGGACAAATCTTCTTCTGGACCAGCTGGTGGCAGGAACAGATCCAAAGAGAATCCAGGCAAATGGGCTCAGCAACAAGGTAAAACCCAACTAGCCAGGTAATATGGCAACCCAGAACACACACTTGCTCTGTGCATATGTCCGTGTGTGTCACTTTTTGGCAGCTGGACAGGCAGCCAAACACATCTAGCAGCTGCAACATTTACTGCCATTCCCACATCTTAGTTACAAAACATGACACACAGGAGATTTTTCAAGGCTCTGTGCAGCTCCCGGGGTACAGGGAAACCCACCACTGGACTCACTGTGGAAATTCTTCCAAGCTCTGCTCTGTTGCTAGCAGGGCTTCGTCAACAAGAAGGCCTGTGAGTTACAACACAACACTGCTGTTCCACTTTCACCGGATGGTGAGAGGCGCCAGTCACTAGTTCTGACCCCCCCCCCCTTTTGCTGTTCCACTTGCACCAGATGGTGAGAGGTGCCAGTCACTAGTTCTGACCCCCCCCCTTCCCAACACTCAACTTGGTTAGGTCAACCCACCCCTTGTTCTCCTGTTTTGCCCCTGGGATCTCACGAGATGGATTGCTGCTGATTTGACAAACGAAGGCAAGTCTGCATGCAGCCTAAACAGTTTAGTTCTCATGCTGTGATTTACATCTCTGCTACTAGGGGTGCAATCGCATGAGGGAAGAGATTCCAATTTAGACCGTTTGTCCAGGGGTCTGGTGCAATCTGTTTCCTGAAATCACATGACAGGTTGGGAAACATTCTTCCGCCTGACCCTGATCCATGCCAGAAAGGTCCAACTGTAGGACTTCTGCTTTCGAGGGCTAGGCTGCAGCGATTCCCCGGCAGAGATCTCTCCCTGCAAAGTGACCCTTTCTGGTGCTACTGGGCAAGACGACACCCAAAGATAACAAGTCAGAAATGACAGCGTAGCGCACTTTTCAAACGGTTTGTGGAGATGCCTTCCCCAGGAAGGGCTGGTATTCATCACCCCATCACAAATTGACTCCAGGCTCATCAGCAGCATCACAGATTCATTTCAATTAAAAACAACAAAACTCTCTCTGCTTGTACTGGATGTTCCTTTGGAGGATTTATCGGTTAGAATAACTGTTATGTAAAGCAAAGGGATCCTGATGAATGGTTGTCCGTGTAACATTTACATAACGAGAATAACAGAGGGCTTGAGAGAAAAGGAGCAGTGAGTTCAGCCCAGCCTGCCAGATAAGGAGTCAATTGGCCTTGAACAAAACAACTTAGAACAAGAATGTGGCAAAGGTTTTTGCCAAGAGCCTCGGCCATTTCAAGCAATAAATTAAAGCTTGTGCAGTCCTTAGCCAAAAAAACATCCTCAGTCAAAATAGGAGGTAGGCTGTAAAAGAGGCCCTGCACAATAGGAACGTCAGCACCATCGTTCCAGTAAACATACTGCACCAGGCAATGGAGGTTGGAGACAGAGGCAACCTTTTAAGAGTGATAGGTGTCTTGGGTTAAAAACAATGTTGTGTCTCTCAAACAAACATAACTTATTTGTATTTTGCTGTGACGAACACTGGAAAAGCATGAGTTGCGGGCTTTTTTTGGCCAGGATGATGCAATGTGGCAAGAGGGCAAGGAAGAAAGCTGATTGGGTTGGGTTGGGTTGGCCAGTGCCAGTAACCTCATCAACACTCCTTGTCCCTCAATTTTTACAAAGGTTTTTAAAGAGTTTGTGATTCTCTTAGGAGACATAAGCAGAAAGATATGTTACCTTATTATTAAAGATAGAATAAAAATTGCATGCCATCAAGTCAATTTGTAGTGACCCCTTTCCAGTTTTTTCCCCCTAGGTATACAGCACTCAAGAGGTAGTTTACCATTCCTTTGTTCTTGTGGTGCTCTGGGTCTCTGCAGGATGCCCAAGGCTGCACAAGCTGACTCTTCTGCTGGGAGGAGCAGTGTGGATCGCTCAATGGTTTAGATACCTGGCTGTGGAGCTAGAGATTGGGGGTTCGATTCCCCACTTGTGCCTCCTTGACAGGGGCTGGACTCAATGATCCATAAGGTCCCTTCCAACTCTGCAGTTCTAAGATTATAACCTGTGGCTCTACAGCCAGATACTTAACTCACTGAGTTATCTATTCCCTTAACTTTATTTTCCTTACTTTCTCTCTCCTGCTGTAAACATATGTGTGTGTTTGTAGCTTGGAGCATGATAAGAGTTTAGGAAAGTTACTTTTTTTGGATCTTAGAAAACATGTACCAAACTGCGCACGAGTGTCTATGCTTGGGAAAAAAAAATACAAACCAGAATCTTGCAACATGAGATGGAACGCTGTCCGGACAAGTGCTCTTGGGATTCTGAGGAATGCAATGAAAATGGCACTGGAGGAGTTTCACATCCTTGGAAAAGATAGTTCTGAGTTTGGAAAATTCAATTTTTTGAGAGAGAGAGGGAATACAATTCCCAGAATCCTTCGGCCTTTGCCCATGTTGGCTAGCAGAGTCAGGATTTGCAGTTTAAAAAAAAAGCAAATTTAATTTTTGCACAGGAGGAATAAAAATGAGAGCTGCTTCAGTGGTAAATATAATATTATGCATGTGTGAAAAGATCAGTTGGGTACAGAATCCACCCAAGGCTACTGCTAAGAACACGATGATGCGTAGTCCTGCTGAGCGCCTTGTCCCCTCTCTGGATCCCTTCCATCCTATGTATGTACACAGCTGTGTAAATTATTCCTAATTATGCACAGGGAACTCATGATTAGTCACAATGACTCATATTAGGATACCCACAGACTATCATAGCTACATCTAAAAAAACCCACTAGGGTATTTTATCTTAACAAGATCCAACTCTTGACATGCAAACTCTTCATCATGCTTGTTTAGAAAGAAATAGGGATAAACAGTAAGTAGACAAAGCTATCCTCTGCCATTTCCATCCAGATCAATTTTAATTACTTTTTCAAGGACAACTGCCTATTTTATGGTATGGGTAACAAGAATAAGTATGAGGCTCCCCAAGACACCAGTTTTTCCTCAGCCTCTCCTTTTGCTTGCCAAGAAAGATCATGAATCGGCTCCCTTAGAAGGCACCAGAAACAACGAGTCATCCTTTAAATAGGTCACAGTGGCCCCTGCACTCCTTAATACCACCAAATATCATTTTTTAAAAAATCCTAGACTTTTCCAGGTTTTGTTTTTGGCATGTTGGGTGCACTTTGTGCAAAAATGTCATTTGTGCCTGTGTGAAGCTAAAATCTCATCGTTTAGCAAGCCCGCCTCAGTAAAGGGCAAAATCTACATCCAACACCCTGGGATTCTTGATTTAAGTATAGTAAATAAAGGAGAAGCCCACAGAACTTTGAATCCTTGCCTCCAGTCTAATCTAATGAGAATCAGAGAAGATGACGAGGACAAATCATAGATGGGCCCCCACATCAGATTAGGAGGTGAACTATTATGAGGCAGGGTCAACTTCCACAGCTATCTTGAAGTGCCATAAAAATCACACAGAACTTGGAAAAGACCCCTTTAAGCATTTTTTAAAATTCTTAAAGTAAGTAAGTAAGTAAGTAAGTAAGTAAGTAAGTAAGTAAGTAAGGAAGGAAGGAAGGAAGGAAGGAAGGAAGGAAGGAAGGAAGGAAAAGTTTAGGAACTACAATTTGCAAAAAGGAACTTTTTCAAGCTCTGCTTCATCAGCAGAAAATACTCCGGAGTTTTCTCTCACCTCGGCCCGGAAAGCTTTGTTGAAACCACTGTGGCTTCCAGGGGCAAAGGCGCGCCCAGGACTACAGCTCACCACTGCGGGCATCCCATTCTCACACGTAACGTTCCTGCCCACCGTGCTGATGCGATCACCCAGTTTGCAACTGGAAAGGTGTGCTTCAGTCCCACTGCAGGCCACGGAATACGCCCAATACCGCTGCTTTCTTCTGCTGGCCGTCATTCTAGAAAGAAGGTGGGGAATGGAATGAGGCGTTAGATAAGAAAACATAAGAAAATATTAGGTAAAGAAAAATATAAATTGATCCAATTCATCTGAAGCAGCTGTTTGCTCAGAGAGGGACCCAAACTTTTTGTATCCTATTGATATTCAGGTCAGGTGGATTCTTACCGCCAAATAATAATCCAGATTAATTGTCTGGGATATGAAGAAAGTCGAGGAGAAATCTTTTCAGACCTTTGGTATCAGGATCAGGTATTAGCCTCTTGGGTGACATATTTATTTCTGCTTGGTTTGCCAATGGACCAGCATAGGGATGGAAAAATACTTGCTAAATTCTCTTTTCTTATCCATTTTAAGCTATCCTGACAAGATAACAATTATTATTTCGAGCTGAGAGCAAAATAAACATCTCTGCCCCCCCAAAAGCCTCTATAATTGTATACAATATCTTTCGTTATCTTTCCCTTTGAGTAGCAATGCACATACACATACACAGAGTAAGCTCAGAACGACTTGATTCTTAAGAAAGAGATGAACAGCCCATCTAGTACTTCGAATTCTTAAATAAAGTAGCAACCAGCAACTGCATGAAGTGAGAGCACCGTGTAGATTTTGCACAAAATACCATTCTCCTCTATGACAGAACTCTAATGAGATGTTAGGAAACTCCTCACCACTTTAGTTTGACCATGGTCTTAAGTGAGTGAAATTAAAATAAATCAATGATTTCCCCCTATTTATTCCAGCATCCACATTCTGTGCATTCCTCTAACATAAGTTTTTAAAATGCTATTTAAAAGACGCCTGCTTCTTGGGAGGAAAGCAATGACAAACCTAGACAGCATCTTAAAAAGCAGAGACATCACCTTGCCAACAAAAGTCTGCATAGTCAAAGCTATGGTTTTTCCAGATGTATGGAAGTGAGAGCTGGACCATAAAGAAGGCTGACCACCGAAGAATTGATGCTTTTGAATTGGGGTGCTGGAGGAGGCTCTTGAGAGTCCCCTGGACTGCAAGGAGAACAAACCTATCCATTTTGAAGGAAATCCACCCTGAGTGCTCACTGGAAGGACAGATCCTGAAGCTGAGGCTCCAATACTTTGGCCATCTTGTGAGAAGAGAAGACTCCCTGGAAAAGACCCTGACGTTGGGAAAGTGTGAAGGCAAGAGGAGAAGGGGATGACAGAGGATGAGATGGATGGACAGTGTCATAGAAGGTACCAACATGAATTTGACCCAACTTTGGGAGGCAGTGGAAGACAGGAGGGCCTGGCGTGCTCTGGTCCATGGGGTCATGAAGAGTCGGACACGACTTAATGACTAAACAACAACAAATATACAGCTTCCTTTTTCACTAAAATATATAACATTCAGGGTAGGGAACAAGAGAATTCATGTGTTTTATAAGCACATATATAATACAGATAACTTTGGGCTGATTTCTTTATCCTGCCTTGAAAAATTCCTTCCAAATGTACAGTGACCCTTTCACCTAACCATATGTTTCTTGGATTATCTTCGATCTGCAGCAACAAAACATCTACTTGAGGTTGTTTGAATCTTTCAGGAGTTGACATGTGGAAAGTACCAACCACACTACATGAAACTTGAGTGGTTACAAAAGAAAGCAGATGACTAAGTGAGTAGAGCTGACATCATACTAAAAAAATTCCCATACAATTTTCAGCTTAAGTTTATTTTGGGTAGCTAGAGATATATAAAAGCCTTGCACTCAATTCAAAATGAGGGTCTGATCTCAAACACCTGTGGTATGAATGACACCCAGTTCATGGACAGAATCGAAGAGTTTTACAGTGCTGTGCTAGATGGCAGTGAATAAACTCCCCTTGCCTTTGCAATAAAGAAATATTAAAAAAGGGTGATCTCCTTGTGTCATTTATCATAGAGTCATAGAGAAGTGAAGCTGGAAGGGGTCTACCAGGCCATCAAGTCCAACCCCCTGCTCAATGCAGCAATACATAATGTGGAATAATGTTGCATGTAAATCAGGATTATCTGGCAAGATGGTCAGACCTGAATCCTTGCATCTGATTTCGGAGAAAATGCTGATCTCCTAGGCATTCTAGCTCAAGAGATTCTCAGTGACAAATTCATGGAGGTGGATCTAGTAGTGGTTCTTAGCCACTATTATCACTGAAAGGTGTTGGATATAAGCAGAAGCTGGTGCTTTGAAAAAATGGGGAAAAGAGTTGAAAAAAAGATGCTTTATCTCATGATAGAAAAAGATAAGGTTACATGCATGCAAGAGATACATCAGGATCGAAATGGAGGCAATGAAAGCCCAGGCTATGTTAACTTTTAATTACATTGCCCAATTATGTTAGAAAAATGCCAAACTTAATGGGTCATATAACACACTGGTACCAAGCGATAGTCTCTTTTCATCAATGCTTTTCTTACAATCCTGGAATGAGTTCACAAAAGACGTGGTTGAGTTCAGCCAGAAAAACGGGGCAAGCTAGGCAGCTCGCAAGAGTTTTTCCAAGTTTGTCTTTCCTTTAACATAAAACGGCACTGTCAAACACAGAAACTAAATTACATTCCGGAATGAGAGTCTGGCGGCACGAAAGACGATGAACGAAGTTGTTTTCTTTAGGGAAGGAGCCATCTGTGAATCATTTCACCTCCCACCGTTTGAGAGGCAGCAGCCTCACATGGCTTACCTCAGCACGTAAAAGCTGCGGTTAGATTCCAGAATGAAAACTCTTGGGTCTGCGGCCACGGGAGGCCAGGGCGGTGGGGAAGGGGAGCGCTCCTTTTAATTAATCCCCTGTCCTCAGGAATACAGAGCCGGCTTATTGGAACAGAAACCCTATCTGGAAAATGGTTATCCAAATCAGGAACCACAGTGTGAATACAACGTCCCACCCTTGGGGAAAAGGGTATTTATTTGAAACATAAGTGAGGCCAGAGAAATGAAAAGCACGCAAGCCGAGCTACAAGGTCACGTGTAAAAAGGACTGAATCCAAGTGACCAGGGAGAAAGTCAGTGGGATCTTTGTTTTTCCTTTAAGGAGACACGTGCTTACTCTTCTGGGAAGGACATTTCTCTCTAAAGCAGCGGTTGTAATAAGGAGCATCCTGTGGCAAGAGGGAGACACCGAATGACCTCGGGATTGGGAAACCCAACACAGGGAAATGTCTAAATTCTTTCGCCTGCCTTGCAAACGGCGTCAGCAGCTTTAATTCAGCCCTGAGGGAAATCTGTATCCCTAGGGAAAAAGGTTTTCAAGCTTTTCTGCCTTCAGAAAGGTCTTCTGTACATCAGCCAAAGAAACCCCCTGCAAAAGGGCACATCCTACCATTAAACAGAGTGAAGTCATAGTCTGAGGGCCAAACTAAATGTTACGGACAATCTATATACACTACAGACAACTTGTGCTGGAAGATTATCGGAGGAGGAAGTTTTTATATCTCTTGAAAGTTTGAAAGTTTGTTTGCTGTGTCCTCTGAGGCTAGAATCAGATTACTTTGGTAAGTTTGCTCCCTCGGTCATGAAGGTCTACCTGAGCAGAGTCTCTGAAACATTAATGGGCTTCCAGATTCCAATGATGGGGTGGTCTACTCTGCATAGGTTGGTCTTCAGACGGCATGATTTATGAAACGACAGCAACGGCTAACTATTTAATCTATTCTTATTGGAGATTTATTGTCAGGGAAAAGAAGAGGTGCTCGTGGGAGATTTTTGTCTCACGTGCCACAATAATTTTGCTGCTAAACCTTAGGCAATAATATGACTTGGGTTGACTGCCATGGGTCCATCGTATATTGTAGAAGACTATGCATCATGTGCTGTTCACGCATGGAGTTTCACATGGGGCCTCTTCCTGTTGCGCTATAGGAACTGAAAGGCTGGCAAATAGCCAAAAGTAGAGATGGGGGTATTTGTATCATATGCATCTTTCAGTCTCGAGAGACTATGCTATCGTGCTCATACACTCATGCGTCTGACAGTGGTGGTGGCCTCACTCATCCCTCCAATCACTCCCAGGGTGTCACTCGCTTCTCACTCAGCTGCCCATTCGGTGGCCGTGCACCGAGAGTCCTCCTCCTTCCCCCTGCCCGGAGTGGCCAGCTGAGCCGGAAGAGAGTGGCACTCTGGGCACAATTGGAAGAATTAGCAAGGCCGCCACTGCCACTGGACATGTGAGTGGACTTGTCAAGTCCAGCTACGTGGGGATATTGGTATACGAATATGAATACCCCCATCTCTTCACAAAAGTATTCCATGGCAGTACACTTCAGAGGAAGACAAGTAAGGGTGGACAGACGCTTCTTGAGGGAAGTGTTTCGATTGTGAAATTAGCTGCTCCAAGAGTTTGGGATGACCACTAACTTGGTCAGTTCTAAAATTCATGGACAAATTAATGGATGGCGGAACTATCCATGCTTATTTGGAATGGGATTTTCAGAATTCAAGAACTCCCAGTCTCGTAATTCGGTGGGAACCCCCGTGCCAAATTATGGGACGGGGAAGCCCCACACAGGGAGGAGGTAGAGCAGACCCCGTCACCCCCATGCCATTCCCATACCGTTGGTTCAACCCCACGAAAAGGGCCCCACGGCCTTGTGGGACTTATGAGGATTTCCTGCAACTCACAAAGGTGCGTGCAAGAAGGCGTTCTGGTGGAGGTTGCGTCTACACTCTCTATATGGAGGCACCTCCCATTGGAACATGTTCCTCCACTCAGCTTTGCAAGCTGCAGGGAATCCTAAATGGTTTAAAGAAATGGTGTGGGAACAGCCTGACTTCTGTTGGTTTGAGGGCTCCCAGGTACATAATTCAGCCAGGGAGGGGTCCTATCAAATTACTGGAATCTTTGAATTTCAAACATTTCATCTCTAATGTTAATTAGTCAAGGGTCACATACACACTTTCTAGTACTAGAACTAAGTGAGACAAGCCTTACGTTGCAGGGATGGCAAGGAAAATGTACAGCGAATATTAAGAGACACTTCTAGTTGAAGAGCAGGTGGCCAAATCTAAGTTGACATAGCTGAAAACCAACCAAATGAGGGGGGGCATGGAAGGAGCCTTCCCGAACAGTGACAAAGTATTGCAAGCACACTCAGGCGTCCCCTGCAACAACATGCAGCCAACCACTCCTTCCAGATGTGTTGCACTGTAAAGTATTTTAAATTGTGCAGCGCTATGATACAAATAAATGAAGAGCAACTAAATCATGTCTGGTCAACATCACAAAGAGCAAACTCTCATGATCCCCTCTTTTTCCTTGCAATGCACCCAGCTGAGAAACAAATTGTGGGTTTGAAAGATCCCCAAACATGGAGATAATTAACATAAACATGTCATCTTTCAGCCTCATGCACAGAGCCAAACACCAGGCCACTTGGAATCAAGATTCCTCAGATTCTCCAGCCGTTAGGCTGGCTGGAGAATCCTGGGAGTTATAGTTAAAACAGTAGCTTTTCCAAATCTGTTATGGGCCTGGAAAAAGCAGAGCAAAGTGGCATTGAAAAATTGTAATACACAAATTTTCGTTGCTGTTGTTTCTCCGCCGATTTCCTGTGAACGAACCATATGAAACGGTGCCAGTGGAATTCTGCAACAAGAATCATGAAAAACAAGCTCTATGGGAGCCAGGAGAACAAGGATTGAAATGACAAACATTGCTCCTCTGGCCCTCCAGCAGCCTCTCTCCTTTCCCAAGGGTTGCTCCACGGATCGTGGTCTTAGGACAGGAAAAACAATACAAACTGTTTCTCAACATAAACTGCTCGGCAGCTGCCTGGGGGCTGCTGGCTGTATTATAAACTCTAGTGGAAATTAAAGGAAGAAATGAATCATTGTGGTCCCTGATGGGGTTGGCAACCTAGAAGTAATGGGATTGTTTCTCTTCTCACTCCTCCATTTTATAACCCCTGCAGTATGTATGTTTGTATGTTTGAAAAACCTGGCCCGCCTCTCTACCTTCAAGGAATCAAGACCATCACAAAATCCTTTTAAAGCGCTCCCTTACTTGTAAACTCTGGCGTTGTATTTCTTTTCGCCCGGAAACCCAAACATGCCACAGATGACGCGGGAATTTTTGGCGGTCCAGTTCTTGTCACAGATCTGCTTCCAGACTCCTCCTTCTTTTACCTCCACGTAACCCTCCGTGACGGGGATGCGCTTGCGGAAGGCAGCGAGGATGGGGCGCAGTCGGACGTCTTCCACTTGGATGTTCATATTCTAGAAAGAGGGAGTTGGAGAGCAGATGTGAGTTTGCTGTTTACCACTGGCTGCAACAAAGAGATGAAAGAAGTGTAGGATAGATTACTTGATGCATTTGTTATGTAGACTCCCCTCCCCCATGAACAGAAAATGCATCAGTATGATCAACAAAGGCAAAACTCATTAGCCCAAAGCCAAATAATAATCTGTGTAAGATTACTAGCAAAAGGACTAGATTTCAAGAAACCTTTCTCCATAGATGTGTTACTCTAAATCCCATTATCCCCAGCTTGGGGGGGTCACAATAGCTGGGGATTATGGGCATTCTAATCCAACACTTCTATAGGGCACCAGACAGCTGATTAAGAGAGAATTTAGCATTTGCCACACTAGGGGGCGTTGCTCCTACGAGACAGCCACGCCTCCATTGCCAAACTCTTGAGGTCATTTTCAGAACACGGACTCTTACTATTAACCAGTGCATGCCATGCAATTCAAAATATGGTTGCAATTCTAGAACTACCTACTTGAAAGACAGCTCTCTCTAAATCTTTTGGATTTACCACTGAGAAAATAGTGCTAGGATGGTTGCTTTAATGTGAACTAGGGCGTTATTTCTCTTCCTGAAATCTAACCTGTGGGACAAACTTCTTCCATGGTGAAATGTACTTCTTCCCTTCTGTCCCTCCCTTGAGTTTTTCTGCATGCTGCCCCTGCAGTTGGACCGTAGGGACAAATGTCCGAGAGTGAGCGGAGGAGAGCTAGGTTAGCCTTCATGTGGCACTTTTGATTCTCATCACTGCACCGATTTCAGCTAAGAAACCTGAGCCGCTGTAATTTGCCTACGGCTATCAGAGTGAATCCTTGCCTGAACTGAAGATTAAACGGGATAATAAACCCCCATTAGATCTGTGTAAATCAGAAGAAGACACAGATGAACATATAAATAAAATGATGCTGGCTGAAAGTTTGTTTTTGCCCTCATGATTGTGAAGAAAAGAAAATACAGGTTTATTTAATGCAGTGGAGAAGGAATTAACTTGTGACCCTCCAGAAACGGCAAAATTACGAATCTCAGAACTTCGCTGTTTGACTTTTCTGGTCAAACTGGAGCTTTTCTGGAGCATCTGGGAAGTTCAGTCACATTGGGAGGGCCTCGGTTTCCCCACAGGAGTCATCTTCTCGGTTCTTACTTCTCTAGAGTCTTAATGCCTCCCAGGGGAATAGCCTGGGTTGCCTCTTCAACTAAAGAAAGGAGGTCAAAGTCACAAAAGGACAGTGGCTTCTGCCTTTGGAGACCATATAAAAACACTCAGGGACATTAGCCCAAACAGATTCAGGCCCCAAGAAGACTTGAGAGAAATCACTTTTAAGTTGCAGCCGCTAAAAGTTGCTGCAGACCTGGGGGGAGTGGGGGCTGGCTCAGGCAGCCAGGAAAGAAACAAGCTGTTGGGAATTTATATAAAACTTTCAAAAGACCTTGTTTCCCTTTACAGTACTAAGAAATCTGGACACAGAGCTTCTGTCATGACATCATAGCCATGGAATACTTCCTTTCCCCATCATAAATGCAACATAACTAAAAGGGGAAAAGGTAGCAAGCATAGTATAGCTATTGTTTTTTAAAATCTACTGTTAGAATTCAAGTTTTTCCCCCCAAAACCGAAAACAGTCTACAACGACAGTTCACAGGTAGAATTACAGCTGGTGACAGGTTTCAAAATCCTTTCCCCCCCCCTTTTTTTTTGGTTCCCAGAATCCGTCTTCCCAACAAGATTTGTTTAACCCATGCTGTGTGAGATGGTATTGCTTGCTTTATGGCTTGAATGCCACACATTTGTAAAGCAAGTACAGGAAATTTAAGTTCCGTGGATCACAATTGGTCTAGATAAATCTTTGTGTGGTCCCTGGATTCCCCAGGCGAGAAACTCAAGAAGAACGGCTTTCCATGGAAACATGAAGTTGCCAGTCTTCATTATTACACACACACCCAACTGTTGTGTTTTTTGTGTTTTTTTAAAAAACTAGAACTGATTGGAAACCATTAAGCAAATAACAGAACAACTCCCATTTCATGACTTTCATACTAGGGGTCTGTAGTCTAGCAAAATTCCAAGCTAACCATAAAATCAGTAGGTGGCCGTGAATAAGTTACAACTTAGCTCTTTTTGCTTCCCATTTGTGAAAGAGGAATTTAAACAACTGACTTCCCCCAAAGACTGGCAGGATGAATAAAATAGGATTATGGAAGAGAAGAAGCCCACCCTCTTTAATAATGAAAGCATGCTAAGGAAATGATTGCATCCATAAATTCTAAGACATGATGTATTTGTGACTTGCCTGGAAAAACCAATGCTGCAGAACAAGACATTTGAAGTTCACTACTGAAGATGTTTGTGAACGACTTGCCTGGAAAAATCAATGCTGCAGAACAAGACATCTGAAGTTCACTACTGAAGATGTTTGTGAACACCTAGACCAGTGGTCCCCAAACTTGGGTCCTTTTAAGGGTTTTTTTTACTGCTCCAGTATTTTAAAGAAATAAATTGTATAACGATAAGCACCTTTGGCCATCCACCAAAGCTCTTGTGTATTTCATTAATATATTGATCATCCTGCAAATGGCACAAAGAGAAAAGCACAACACTTCCTCTAAGTAGGGCTTTGAGTCAAACATTTCTGGCCATTGTTCTGTGTTGTATCCATTGGGCTCTACTGCTGCTCTAGCTGAAGAACTCTGCAACATACAGGTGGTTCAAAGAGTTTGAATATTCACTGCAGTGTGGAAAATGGGACTTGACACAGCACATTCCGCCCCCTTTCCCAACAACTTATGGGTTGTTGTTGTTTTTTTTACTGCTCCAGCGTTTTCTAACATGTGTCTCAGTCTCTCCATGTCAGCTTTTCTGGCACGTGCAGGCAACAAATGAAAACTAAAGAAAACAGGGAGTTTTGCCCACAATAAGCTTATTTCCATGCAAAGGGATCGTGTGAGATTTGCCTAACATTTCGTGCCACGTGTTCGGTAGAGTGATGCACACTGCCCTACTTTTTCCCCCCACAAGGAGTTCTGTAAATAAAAGACATCAGCCCTCCTAAATATTAAGGTCATGAGATTCACATGTTTTTATATGAGAATTCTGGCATAAACACTGGCATTAAAATGCAACCACACTGAAATGACTCTTGCTTGTCTCCTTTCTTCTTCCATGGTACATTTTCTGTATAGCTGACCTTGGAAAACCAAGTAAGAAATACAAAGAGATGCAAGATAGAAAACGCAAAGTCCCTACACCCCAAGGTGCATCAGTTCACTTAGCAGCGATAATCTGACTCTAGTTTAGGACTCTTGAATCTAAAGAATAAACCTGATTCCCTTCAAACTGCATTGTTGGTGAAACTACTACAGCAAATGCTTCTAAGTCTTCTTCAATGACACTTGCAATATTAATTAAAACAATCCTCTTTGCAAATTGTAACCATTTAATTTTTTTCAGCACAGCTGAGCAACTGTTGAATAAATATCCCTTAATTAGTCATATTTTTTACTGCTTTCCCCTGATTATTATTATTTATTTATTTCTGGTACTGTGGAGAACAGAGGTTAATTAGCCTGAGTTGAATCCAGGCAAAAGCTTTTAATTAAAAGTACAGTAGCCCTGAAAGCCCGCAATAGTGCACAGTCTGTCCACACTAGCTAAAACAGTGCTGCAGATTCAACATTTTATGGGCCCTCACCTTCCAATCCCTATGTTTCTGATCTGAAAAAAATAAGGAAAAGAAAATACAACTCACTCTCTGAACACAATGAATTTGGAATTCTGTAAAATGTGAATTAACAGAGAATAGTCCTTCTAGAGAAAAGGATTAGTGGAAAGCAACCTTATATTGTGTAGGCTGCATAATTAAATTGCTAAACCACCCACAGAGTGCTTTAAGCGCTATGGGGCGATGTATAAGCAGCATCCTCTGCTTTTGCTTTCTATTTTTCCACTTTTCAGGGAAACAGGACAGACTTGTGAAACAACTATCATGGTCTCTGGTTCAGGTTTACTTTGGCCGAAGAACAAAGCATAAAAACGCTGCTTGGTGGACTGCAATTCCCAGAGTGCCTGGGTCTATGGCTATGCTGGCCAGTGGATATTGGGTGTTGTAGTCCAAAAAAAGCAATGTTTCCAAGCTCTGCCTGTGAGTGATTTGACAGGAAGTAGAGTCGGACACAAACTAATGACTAAATAACAACTGGAAATATGAAGATAAGACTTCAGGGCTTTTTCACAGCTTCCATTGCATTCAGGGTCTCATTCCTTTTCCTGAACGATTTTGATGCAATGAAGGAGGAGGGAATAAATTGACTCACGCATTGCATTCACAATACTCTGCTTTTGTTCTGATTTACATCCTGTCTTGGCTAATGTGTTGGCCAAACGCGTACAGCGAATTTCTTATGAAATATGTCATGGTTTTTATCCTTAGAGGATATTTCAGCTTTATAATGGTTTTACCAGGCCTCTGCACTGCAGAATATTAAGATGATCCAGGCAAGAGGACTGAAGTTTTTGTTCCAGTCTTGTCTCCTGCTTCCCCCCTAATG